ATCGCATTTATTGTTAAAATCTTATAAAACATATGACAAGTTGAGGGTTTTGTCATACTTTTAAAGTGTGCCAAAAGTGGACGCTGTGGGTGCAATAGTTCTCGCACAATTCAATTTGTTTATAACGGAGGCTCCAAAAGTTATGAACTTTAAGTCTCTGTACAGGCGTTAATTTTCAACCAAACATGATTCTGAAAGCATCATTGTAATCTTAAAGACGTAATTAAGCGACCTATTAAAAAATATCATCGTTTTTTTAACATTAACATTCTCAAATTGTGTATTAAAAAACCGGGCGTTTTTCGCTTATAAACAATTTGAATAAAATTGTTGCTATTTATTCTATCTCACCGGAAATAGATACAATGGATAGCTGGTTAAAAAACACAATTTTTGTAAAAAAGGCACCCTCTACGACCAACAGGAGCCAAGATAAGATTTTTTTTTCAATCGTAGCGCAATTGTTTATAAATATTAAGACTTGAACTTTTCGCAAAATAAAGTTTACGACGTAAACCACGATTTCCCGTGAATTGCATTGAAAAATGTGCAAAATTCACAATTTACAAATTTACAACTAGGACAATTTATTTTTTAAATTCGTCTAAAAATGCCAGCTTTCCGAATATGAAAAAATATTTTATCTGCGAGCAATAGGTTATTTAATTTATTTATAATTTTTTTTCACTTTTTTTTTATTCATAATGATAGTTTAGCTCTTCTTCTTTCTTATGGGACCCGTAGAATTGCTGTATCTTCATTATTTTCTGCTAATGTTATTGCAAAATAACGGTCTCTGGGTTAAACAATTTGAATAAAATTTAAATTATTTGATGAAACGATCTGAAATTTGGAGGGTTTATAAAGTATCACAAGACCCAACCTTTCATGCACATAACATAGTTGTAGGTGGATTTTACAAGACTTATTGTCAATTTTTATTTTCCCTTATTTTGCAAATTTCTAAGCAACAAATTAATTTATCAACTTTTATAAAACGCCATTTTAAAGCTTGATTTATGTTTCAAGTAACGATTACTTTATATTTTCAATCGGATATAAACTTTTTCAATGGTAGGCAAAAATGGCGAAAATTTGCATTTTTTGCACTTAATTGTTAATAAATAAAAAACTTCAACGAAGTGGTAGGATTTCTTCCTATAGGTCAGTATTACCTAAAACACTTGTCAGATACCTGGATAATTTTTTGTCCCGAACGAGAATTGGTTTGCCTTATTTCCCTGGTCTATAATAGACCACTTACCGTGAAGAACACTGTATAGTGATGTGTATTTTATATTTGTCTGTTTTTTTTTTTTTTCAGTGAGATTTTTGGAGAGGCAAAACCACTGTTCTTTAATTGGATGCTTCTGTCACGTTTGGAAAAAAAATGTTGCATCTCAAAATTTATCACAAAGAAAGAGTCAATTTCGATTTATAGAAAGACGAGTTTTTCGAAACATTTGCAACTGGTCAGCGAACGATTAAATTGTAATTTCACGTCGCTAACATTACTAAAACTACAATATTTACAAACTTTATTCTATATTATTAGTATTCGACCTAGTTACACCGTGACTGGAACACATGTAGTTGGTAACGTCCAAAATCCGTATAAATAGACACGAATATCGCCAGGCCTATTTTTAATCCGTCATAAAAAAGAAAAAAGGGCAAAAAACGCCGAGGAACACGACTATTACACAGATATTAATCCAGTATAAATTAGCTTTGACACCACCTACCGAATTACAATGGCGTTTAGGCCAGCAGGATCGGGAGAACAAGGAGGCCATCTATCAGATTGTCAGAACAAAAAATAGGGAACAATGACATATCGCCATATAACTAGGTGAAAAATCGACGAGAGCCGGCGACGCGACGGCTTCAGCATTAACATGTATTCTGGTGGTAGGATTGCGCCAAATGGGACCACCAAGACGAGCGAGATGGTTATTTGTTTTTGGTCTGGACCTCCCGCTAGCTAGATTCTGTAATTTTAGTTTAGTTAGGTAGTTCGAGTTGTTATTTTGAAATTTATACAGGGTGTCTCATAATTAGCTGCCAACCCTGAACAGGCCGATTCTATGATCAAAACTAAGTAAAAAAGTTCATATGAACATGGGTCCGGAAATGCTTCCTAAGGGCACAGGGACCCATTGAAGAGGGAGGAATGGAAATCATTTTTTTGCAATATCTCTCAATCGCGTTGTGATAAATGAATGAAATTTGGTATACACAGCTAAATTTT